CTTTCCCAGGGCTGCTTTCGCTAGAACAGGATTTTGCTGCCATGGTGCACCACTGTTCACAACATAATCACATCAGTGACACACAGAGTGCAAGGGAGAGTCTGGGTCGCTGGTGTGAATCTGCTTTTATGCCAGCCCTGACTGATGATTTACTCTTCCAGGCCACACAATGTTTTGTGAGCTTCTACAGGACACTGAGCTGTTACAATTTCTATTTTTATCCACTACAAATTCTCAAAGCAGCACATTTAATAAAATTTTAGCAAACACAGAACTCTGCTTCTGTTCTTGAACTACTTGATTGATACACTGGACCTACAATGCCAAAAGTAAATATATATTGGAAACATACCACAAATTACTAATTAGTTAATTACTGAAATGTCTATCCATGAAGATGAAAAACAGCTCATCATCTCTGATTTGTATAACCAAAAAGCTAAAATTAGTATAGAAGAAGTCTCCATTTTAAACTCTGCACTTCTTTGCTCAATCAATGAAATATTAGGATTTACATCGACTCCACAAAGAGGCTTTGCAGTATCTTACAGTGCTCAGGGGTTTAATAAAGCTAATTCTGCAGATTGTCTGGAGGATTCTAATTAATTAATTAATTAATTTAAATAATAATGCTAGATGACTTTTAGAGAGAACGCGCACCAGTTAATTTCTTAGCATGAAGTTGCCAATCTGCAAGAAATCCTACTGAAAGCAGTTCTTAGCAAAAGAGTAGCATTGCTAATGATACCTTTTTTTGCCAGCTTGAACTGATCTGAAAATCAAGATCTCCCCATCTCCTGATTTTAGCCTATGTGAGTGTAAAAGAGCCATCTTACCTCCTGACTTGTTTCTGCTACCTCCATTAAAATGTAGGTATGCCTGAAATCTTAGCACTTAACAGGATCAAAGAAAGTAAATTGTCCAACATTGTCCTGGAAGTCAAACATGTGCTGACACCAATGCTGTCAGCACACAAACTAGTTTTGAATAAAAGCAGCAGCTAAGCTCAGCTTCGTGTCATGCTAGAGAAAACTTCCCACTTAATCAGTCTTCTAACATAATCAGTCCTGTTGCAGAAAAGGTGACCACATCAAGCATTTGAAGCTTCCTGAGATCAAAACATTATGAAATACTTTAGGCACTATTTCATGTTTTCCCTAACATGATATCATGTCTCCTCATGATATCAAAATGTTCACACATACAAATATGCATTATTATAACTGATTAAGCTACAATAGTACAAATTGGTGAGAAAGTTGGATCTCAAGCAGAGATCATGATATATTTTTAATAAAGCTAGTTAGATGTAAGATGTAATTTCATAATTTTCAAGACAGCTACCTATGTAGGAGTTAAGAAAACATTATCTTTTTATTTTCTGATGAATTCTGAAATATATAAAAAATGGTTTGAAAATATGAAAATATAGTATGCTAATCACTAATATTATTATACTAATTTAATACTAATTAATGCAGTTGGGAGATACACACATATATATATCTTTTCCTTGCACAGGATTTCTAGTATTATTGCTTGCATTTTAATATAAATGTTATAATAGATTGCATTATACTTACCCAACAAGATTAATTTATGAAACCATATTGTGGTTGATGATGGCAGCTGAACCCCTCAATGGAATTAATTAAAGGATAATCTCCATTGCTTTGCAGAATACAAACCAATAAATGGCTGCTGAGATTAATAACTGAAGCGGAGCTAAAGTGTTTAAGGAATTTCAAACCCCATTTATTACACACACCCTACAAAGCAGGAGAGATTATAACTGTACAGCAAACCAGAACATCAAAAAATCCAAAAACAAAACCAAAAAAGAAGCCCACACAAGGAAAATGACATTTCCTTCCCTTGTGAATATTTGAAAATTATGCTTCTTTGTTCAAGAGTTTTGTATCATAGAGATGAACTTGGCTAGAATGAAAAAGAATTAAGCTAAAAATATGTGCCAGATCTTTTGGTTGTTTGTCTGAAACAAGGAGTACACAGGGAAAACATTTCAAGCAAATTAGGTCAGGACATTGCTTATGAAAATATAAGTAGATTTTTTAAAGATAATTTATTTGAGAAAGTTAAAATTTTAATATTCAAATATTTAATATTTCCCAAACAGAAATTGGAAAATTATAGGGCTTGCAAGGCTTTTGGCAAATGTTTTCTTTAGAGCAGAAACTGTGGTATCCTTGGGATGAAATTGCTTCTGTATTTTTACATAGTACCTTTAGCTGACAGAAATGAGATTCATGTGATGTTCAGGTCTCCTTCTGGCTTTGGTAGGAACAGATGGGGTACAGGTGTGTGTGTTGCAGCAGAAAGGATGTTGTGCTTTGAAACGTCAAAGTTGCAATTTTTCTATGTCATTTTCAAAGAGTTATATAAACTCTCTAAGGTAACAACCATTTTATTCTGATTTTTATTAAGTGACTTGAAAAGTGTCTTTAAATACCAAAGCCTGCTACTTTGTCTCATTACTTTTTTATAAATTGATATCCTTAGCTTTAATTTTTTCCTGAATATAAGTAACTCTAATAAGCAATCTCTATAAGAATTTTAATTCTTCTTTTCATTTTATTGCTCCACAAAAATGACTGGCAAATTCAAAATTTCTGTTTTAAAAGGGAGTTTCACTCTTTTTTCCCTGTCTATAGAAAGTTAATTAAGACTGACATTAAAAAGGTATGAAGTATGGGTTAAACTCACCCTACCCTCTGTGCATCTTTAAGTATGACTAGGGCTCAAGGCACTAGATAGAAGATATTGTTACCTGAAGTCAAAGAAGATTGGATCATGATAAAAAAGCTATTTAAAAGAAAGGAATAATAGAAAAAGTATATGCATCACTGGTCTGCTAACACCTGCTCTGGTCTCATATCTGCCTGAGAAACCTGCCTCAAGAGCAGGTCTCTCTCTGCCAGGATGTGTGGTCACCTCATCATTCCTTCTGAGCTTGACCCTTTGGAGTGGAATAGGAGAAAAAGAATGGAAGAAGCAAACTACAAAGAACCTCACTTCTGTTAGCAAGGTTTTGAAGGTAATATACTCACCCTAATCTGCTGAGTCAGAATTATAATAAATAATGTGAAGTTCTTAGATATATTTGTAATAATGAACTGAAAAGGTAATTTGTTGCATTCTCTTGAATATTTCTTTCTCATCATGAACATGAGAAGTACATTTACTTCAGCTTCTTTTTTTATTCCTGAAACATAGAAACTTTTACTGCATTAGTGCAAACTATTCCTACAGCTTTAGAGAAATGCTCTTGCTTGTTTTCCTTTAGATTTCCTTAAGTCCACATTGCCCTAATCTGATTTTATAAGGCTTTTTCTGTATGAAAGATTACCATAATGCAAATAATTTGACAAAAAGAGGAACACAGGACTAAACAAGAAAACAAAAAGATTAAAATGATCAAAATGTTCAAAATGCCCCAAAAAGGTTGAGATTTGGGAAGATTTAGTTTTTTTTTTTTCCAGAAATTAACTTTTTAAATTTATAAAATCCTATATTAAATGATTATTTTTACAATAGTAGTTTGCCAGTCAGAAGGATTAAGTGATTTTGACACCAAGAGTTGAATCTGGTGGGACACTGGGAGATTTCACCTCTTTGGGCATAGCAGAGGCATCTTTTCTCTCTTACCAAAAGAGGCAGTTCTCCTTCTAGACCTCGTAATTCTCACATAAATTTCAAAGTATCCACTAAAATTGACACTGTCTCATATGAAATGCTTGAGTTTCACCCTGTGATGAAATGCATTTTTAGACAGCTATATCAGTATTTGTGAATATGTTTGTTTGCAGCGTGACTTTTTCCAGTCCCAATACTCAGACTGGGTTGTGCACTGTTTCTGAGCTGGGTGTTTTATCATTTGTTGGACAAGGAATTCATCTTAGCTTAACTGAAATAAAAACTTGAGAAAACCTTGTTTTCTCTGAAGAGCTATTGAACATGCCTGAGAAAGGCTTTGAAATGAATGTAGAGACCCAAGAATTTAAAATAAGGCTTGATGAACTAGAACTTTCTGATTCAAATTTGGCTTTGTTTTCTGGTGAGCACAGCAGGAAAATGGCCCTGTAAATAGGCTGCACAGAGATAACCTGCAAGCAAGACAGTGAAATGGGAGAAATAAATCTCTTCCACAGCAGGGACTTGTGCAACCAGAAGCAGGAGGAGCCCCCAGGGTAGAACACACTGCTCTGGACTGCCCCAGGCCAGTGTATTACATCTGCCAAGGATCTGCCATCTACCTGCCTGCCATTGAAGAGAACAGGCTGATTTCTTCACACTTACATGTTATTTAAAAACAAAGTTTCCATCAATTTCTTTGCATTCTTATGCCCCCAAATCAAAATCATAGTGATCATTCTGGGAATGGTGATGCAGAACTTCCTCTTTCTTGATTAGCTTCTCTTTGACCTATTAGTCTTCTCTGTCTCAAGCAATTTTATAGTTTGGCATCTGTAATTCTGTTCATTGTCTGTAACAAACAAGATTCCTGGTCCCATCTGTGAGTGCTGAACTAGAATCAGGTGACTCCCTAAAGCTAAAACATATTCCTATATTTACCTTTTAATGAGAAGCACCTCTCCTGGGAGAATGAGACATTTCTCAGAAGAGCTTTAATAGTGCTGTCCATCGAATCAGATCAAATAATAAGAAAATTTTAGGGAAAAAGTTTAAATACTTTCATGTATTATTCATTTTTGGTGCTTTTATTTCATAATAGTTACATGATTATGTAGAGCAAATTTCTTGATTCTGATTAAACTCTACAAACCCCTGTAGTTCAACATGCTTATATATTCCATGCAAAATTCTCTTTAGTGGACAATAAGAAAATAATAAAAACATGGTTTACAGTTTTACAGGACCTTTCATCCAACAGTCTCCAAAGGGCTGCAGAGATATGTGCATAGTAACATTTTCATCTTAGCGCCAAGGAAATCAAAGGCTAGGAAGATTAAAGCCCAAACCTTTAAATGCCTTTGGAATTAACTGGAGCCTTTGAAAACTTTTCAGGGTCTACATCTATGGGACTTTTCCAAGGATGCCCCCTGCACATAGCTGGAAAATAAAATACAGGTGTATTTAATTCCTTTTCATTATTTCAAGGCCACCAAAGAAAATTACATATATAGAATAATAGTAGCTAAATCCCTTCATGCATTTCATAGAAGAGATCTTACACCATTAAATATACACAGTGTAAAGTACATTCTTGTTTTTCATTGCACTTGGAGAGCCCTCTAAACATGCAGGAATTGCCATCACAGGTCCTGATCAGGTGTCTGTGTGTAGAGGAGTGTGTGGTGCACATGCATTCAGGCCCAGTCTTATTTGCACAGTGGAAGGGTGTCAGATGATGAAGATTTTGACCATTGCAACCTAGGAGAATAACTTCCCTATCTAGAGACCAAAAAAAGGGCTGTTTTTTTAGCAGGCAGAGTCCTGAAAGGACTGTCAGAAGGTGGATGATATGAATATATCCCTCAAAAGATCCACATCCTGAACCAAGTCCAGCTTCATTAAAGTTCCATGCTGACACAAGCAATTGTATCAGGAAGCAGAGGAATTGGGTTTGTGACTCAGAAGTTTACACATATTTAGAAGTCTATAATTCATAACATGCTGATGTGGTTTATGTCAGTGACATTGGCTAAGTGGGATCCCACTTCTGTTGAAACCCATCACTATTTTTAATAGACTAAGATCAAATTTTAAAGGCATTTTTATATTTTATTTAACATTAAATATTCTGCTAATCAATTCAAATGCTTACCAGATGAATTAAATTTATATTCAACATCTATAGTCCTCTGTGCAATTTTTGTATGGATTTTAGATACATATAAGTAAAAGAGAATTTTACCCTATAGTATTAAGCAAAAATATTTCTATTATTAAATGTCTGCATTTGTTTCAGCTTTTTTTCTTTTAATTTCTGACATTCTAACATTTCTCATCTTTATGCTTTGAAGAAAATATTGACCTAGAAGAGTACAGCATACTTTAAAATTATAGGTATGAAGAAAATTGGAATGCAAAAGAAACCTCCTGGGTGAGATTATTCACCAGAAAACACAGAAAAACTGAATAGATCATAGTTTTTGAAAGAGGAAGAGCCCTGGAGCAGGTGAGATTTGCATACTAATTAGAGACAAAGTTTATTCAGGCTCACAGGCCAATCTATCTTCCATCACTAGGCAGCATCTGTTTTAGATGATTCAACTCCTTTTAGGTTGGCTGCTGGTGTTATAAAAGCTGAAATATTTTTCAGCTTACATTATAAATTTTTGCATTTGGAGGTTTACAATTCAGTGAATAATACTTTTCTCATGTTTAAGGTAATTCTGTTTTGAAGTTATTTTTAATGAAAAAAATAATTTCATCATTTTTCAGTTGTGTTAAAAAACAGTTTGTCTAATGGATGTGATGTGAAAAATAGTTAAAAATTAACCACTGACAAAATATAGACTATGAAATATTAAAAAAAGCAAAAATATACAGGAATGGAAGAGATCTTATAGCAGAAAACTGTTAATAATGATGTTAATAAGTGACCCTCACCTAATATTTAACTGCTTTTCAATTACCACACCCATTATTCACCATCTCCTATATGATGCCCCACTCCACATCTGAACTATTGATGTCATTCTGCCTATATGAGCAAATTTCATAAGTACACTTACAATATTTACCAATATCAGTAGTGATATTGTTATACCAAAAAAGAAATTTCAAAACCATTTCCACAAAAGCTTTAAATGTAAACTTCCTGCAATGCAATACTTCCAATTTGACATACCTGTCATGTGCATTTGCCAATTCCTTGTCCTTTTTTTTATTCTTTTACTATGCTCCATGTTTTTTCCAGCCTTGTACTTGATGTATATATTAGCTCCCACAACACTTTTAATATTTAAAAATATGTATTATTTTTGGACAATATGCATGTCTCGATGTTATCCTGATTTGATTGCAATGAAAATATTAAGATCAAAATATGAGTTCAAACATTTCAAAGTGAGTATGCAAAAACCTGAGGTACCTAATTGCTTGTGAACTCAATTCAAACCTTGTGTGCAGTCTCACAGGAAGAAAATGTGTCACAAAATCCAAAACAATGAAAGAAGTTATGGTGTCAGTTACTTTAATTTATCATCTTAATTCCATTAAAATGAAATACGATGTACAGGAATATGCTACTGCTGTCAAGGATTCTTTTTCCAGACCACAGCTTAGTCACTTATAAAAAAATAGTGGCAGTTTTTTCTTAGTCATAAAATACTTGTACTGTGAAAATTACCTTTCATCAGTAACATATACATATAAAAGATTTACCTGAAATAGTTGTCTGACCAGTCCTCCAATTTTAAACAAACATGAGGCTAGGGCTTTCATGATGGTTCTTTTCCTAGATGGGCTTTAGGTTTCTAGCTGATTTTTTTTTCCCCAATGACATTTGAAGGCTATGGTCTTCATTCTCTATTTCCATCTGTTCAGTCAAAGACAAATGACAGCTCTAATTTGAGCATATTTGGCAAATTTATTTGACTCCTGCCTACTTTCTCAGAGATGACATTCACTCTTTTGCACCAGCCTTAGCAGACATGACCTTCTTACCTCCTGGGGAGAAGGAAGATCACTTCCCCATACCTCTTAAAAAGGGGATTATGGAAGAACTACTCTAATCTGCTATTCAGTTAAAGCATTTGTTGTCTTTACTGGACTTGTATTCTGAGCCAGAAAAGCAATAGTAATAATGGATTTGGTTGTACCATTCAATCTGTCACCTTACCTTGCCTTCATCAAGCTGACTTTACGGCCAAAAAATCCACTATGCAATCTGTCCCACTCCCTCTTGAAGAGCAGTTTCATCAAATACAGGTTATTCCATACATCAGTCAAATCTCTATGTAAAAGTAAAGGGAATTTCACTCTAGTAAGGCTTGAGACTTATCTTTCTCAACTACTGAAATGCAATGCTGTATTACCGCACCAGTTATTAGAAGACCATAAGAATGCTGTGCTTCAGAAAACACAGATGTGAGCAACACAATGCAAATCTTTACAGCTGTGAAGAGAATGGCAATTAGCTCAGTACAGCTAATGTGAAAAATGTTCCTTCTTTACAAAGCCATGTATTTGGAGACAGCTGTAGCAATTTATCCTGAGATATGATGCCATTCCCAAAATTCTACTTTGTAAGAGTTATGGCCATTCTTGTTTACTTTAGTTTGGCATAAGAAAAATGAATTTGGCCAGTGGATCTCTTGCTACATATACTGATCCTGGTATAAGTCTGTCTAGAAAAGGAGCTTCAGGCAGGATGATCATTGCAATGCAGCCAAAGCCATAGGCTCTCAGATGTTAACAAAAAGCTTTCCTTTAACTAACCCAGAATGAGGATTTACTTTCTCTCTCTCTCTGTCATGTCTAACACTTGTCTCTATGAGGCTTATTTTACAGCTGTGAATAAATGTTCACCTACATCCACCAGGCAGGCTCCCGAGCAGTGCGGCTGCTGCACAGCATGCCAAGAGCAGCAGCAGGATGCAGGGGGATGAGATCCCGCAGTGATGCTCAGCTGGTGCAGCGGGGGACACAATTTCCCTCTCTCACAAGTAGTACAAAGAATGGCCAGGGGAAATAGGACAGGACCCAGCTTTCCTGGCAGTTTCTGAATGTGGTAAAAACTCCTTGGCTACTGGCAGCAAAAGGAATTTTTAACAGCCCTCTGGCACAGAGAAACACTTCAAGGAGTGTGAAGATAACCATACGCCCTTTTACATAAATGTCACACACAACTGTTGTGAATCAATGCCAGGTATGAAACAAATGTTTTCTTATGAATATAAATATTACATTTCTTCCTCAGTTTTCAAAGTGATCTCTGTATATTCTCCATTTTTAAGGGTAATTCCCAGTCACTTTCCAATATAATCTTCATTAGATAACCATAAAAACACTGTTTCCCCTACAATGAATCCAAGTATGACATTTTCCATTACTTCAAATGGAACAAAAAACCCAGTAACTATACTCCAAGTTTTAAATATAAATTACAACAAAATGCATGTCCTTTACATAAATAAATATGTATTTATTTATTTATTTTATAATATGGTAATGCTGTTCAAAGGTATAACAGAATTAGACATTACCATGAACACTAAGCTTCTAAATAACAGTTTCAGTACTTGTTAATGGCAGATTAATTTTTCCTTGCTGAGAAATACTCACCTTTTTCGATGGCAGAATTTAATTAATGTTGTCTTAAATTCCTGAATAAGATATTGGCTGGTATTGTTGCTGTTGTGAAGTGAAACACCTAACATTGATAACATTCTGTATTTCCAGTCTTTTACAAAAGTGTGTGATCCCAAAAGGACAGAAACGAGTAATAAACAGCATAGACAAATATATAACAGATAAAATATAATCTATTCATATAATGTTGAATTTTAAAGAGGCTGCCTATATTATTTCACAAACGTGAAAATGTATTGTATTATTCATTACCTCAATTTAATTACAGAAATATGAAATTAAATCAGAAGAGACCTCAAAAAGACTATGCCTTAACATGTGATGTCAGATCCTGAAATTAGTCTCATTACCTAATTAATGAGCTTTGCAAATGGAAGAATAGACACAATTCTCTTTATATTACTAACAGCAGTTTTTCCCCAAAATACAATAAAAACCACCATAAGACAACTTTATATTTTAAGTATGGAAATCCACATTAACTACTTGTGCACAAACAGCAGCCGGCCATGATTCATGACTCCTTTTTATGCAGGATGAATTACCTTGCTTCAGCTTTCTTACCCAATGGTATTAACTTCTGTATGATCTAATTAATTTATTCTGTACAATAATAGATCTGGTTATTAAATACAGGTTATAGAAATGTATAAAAAATGAGGTGTCACATATAGAAAACAAATTAAAGGAAGTATTAGTTATTAACCAGAGGAAATAGTATAACAATTAAAGACATGGCAAAAGTCAGGTTACTTACCTTAAATATATACAGTCCTCTAAAAAGGAAAAAAGGCATACATGATACAGTCTGCATTTTTTTAGTTGTCTGAAAATCATTACTTAGCTAAATGGATATTTTTCATGAGCAATGTGCTGACTGATATTAAATGACTGATATTAAATCATAAATACCTTGATAAAGTATTAAGTAAAGATTTTCAAATGCATGATGTCAGGAACTGAGAAAGTACAATAATACTAACAAAATAATACAAACATGATTGGTTTTATGAGGTAACATTTTAATTCCCACTTGAGTTATTTCCTGATTTTTTTCGAGATGATGAGCACAGTCAGCAGCAGGTCAAGTCAATAGCATCACAGATTTTTATAATTATAATTTCTGAAAGTCCTACTCTTCACCTATAGCAGAAAATTTACTTTGCAGTTCATTCCACACCCAGCACTGCAATGCACAGCATTTGCACCACCTAATAAAGCCAGGGCTGCAATAGTATGGATGGGTAACCACAAGACACACCAAATTAAGTTTAAGAAACTGTTTTTGAAAAGCCTACTCTATTTATTGTTTGTATTCCAATGGCAAAGAGAAACAGTTCTGTCTACTAATAGTTCTGTAGTTTCCTAATATAGACTTACAAACTATTTAAACCATGATATTAAGTAGTTTATGCTACTTTGATAAATCTAAACAATCTATATAAAATCAACATAGAAATAAAATTTCTGAAAATTTCATACTTGCTGTAAATTTCATTGAGAATCCCTAATTCACAACAGACATCCTAATCATTCATGCAAATTACTAGTTATAATCATCAGTGCAATTTAAGTAATGAACTTCTTTTATAAATTACACAAAATGGAAAATTCCATCCTGAGCTTATAAATGTCAAGTGCAATTTTGTTCCATGTCAGACACAACTACAGATTCTGTGCAGGTAAAGAATTTGCCACAAATACAATCCACTTTTGTGGTAGTGTAAAATGTAATGATGTTCAGCACTAATAAATAAATACATTAAAAGATACAGTTATATGAAATTTAGTTTCCACAGTGGGCCAGATCTAGCATGGGAGTAAATCAATAGGACTCTATAGGAGCTAAGCTATTTCTGAAAATTTGCTCTGGATCTGGCTCTTGAAATATTTTTTTAAAATTATTAAGTGAAGTATTGCACATATAAGACATTGATTTTTGTCATTGATTTTGTGCTGGCATTTGAGACAAGCCTCAAAAAGCTTGAGCATTTTATGTATTTACAGCTGTCTGCAGCAAGGAATAATTCATTCATTCCAAATGAAACATGTTCCTGAAGCCTATAAAAACAGCATTTTTCTAGACTAGATTTACAAACAGATTTTTCAAATAAAAAGTTAGAAAATGTGCTTTAAATCATTGAAACAAAAGCTGAAGTATGTTTCTTGATTTTTTTTCTGTCTTGTCAAACAGATAAGATAGATATTGATTATATTTGCCTCCCAAGAGAGCTGTTCCATCAGCAGAAAGTGAAGATCAATGATGAACCATCATCTCATAACAAAATATTTCCAATGACAAAAAGAAACTTATTGTTTAGTATTTTTGGTTAAATATGGACGTAGGAAAATTGTGGTTTCTTGTAATTGTGTTTTTTTTTCCTTATTAGACCAATCCAACCATCCTTACACAGGAAGAGCAGTCTCCCTTTTGGCTGATTTGAGGCAACTTCAGACACAGGCCCAGCATGAGCAGAACCTATCTTTGATTCATTTCCAAGCCTCTCTTTTGTCACGTTCTACCAACAAAAAGCTCTTAGGTGTACATAAGAGAATATCATCCTTACAGAGACCATTACCTATTTATTTAAACCACTCATCTCCCCCAAGTCTCAAGCAGTTAATGGGTAATTCCAGAGGAAAAAGCTTCTTTTCCCTCTCTTTCAGAACACATGTTTACCAATGTAAAAGAAGGCAATATTGCTACCTGCAAGTGCTTTGCCAAAAATGAAACACAGAGTGGAGAAATCAGTTATTCCACATATTCTAGCCCTTTATTTTCTCTTCCTTCCAGTTTGAGTGACCTTTGGCTGAGTAAAGCATCCAGAATAGATTTAATAGGTTTACTAATATTGGAGATTACCTTTTCAGCATATCTGTAGACAACTTTGTGGCAGTGGTTGAAAGCACAGATATTAAAACATTTGTTTTTTAAATCTTAGAATGATGGGTAACAACCTATGAATCACAAGCAAGAAATTTTGATGATGGACGGCTTTACTGGAGGTTTATTTCCATTTCAGGCATGGGGGAAAAAAAACAAAAACAAAAACCCATGGCAAAGAAAGGCACAGTTCAAAAGCATTAGAACAACCAGGAGAGTCAATAGATGTAGACTGTGCTGCAAATCTAGCTCTGTCCCCAGTGAAAACTAAGAGTATTTAGTAAATATAGAAGGGGTTTGTATTCAAGGTTTAGATGGATTGAAAACTCCAGCAAATCATCTTTAAAGGCACTGTTTACAGAAACTCTCATGATAAAATCAGTGAATCCAAATCTTGGATCCTCTGCTAGGTGTCTCTTCATTGGTGAGGCAGCTAAAGAGTGGTCATTGGAAACACATGTCAAGGACCTCTTGTGCACCTTTTCATAAACATTTAAAAGAACAACAGGGAATGTTTATACCACTTTACTGTCACCTATAAATTTTATTAATCCCATACTAACATTATTATCCTGTAGCCTGACTATACACCATTTATTTTTGACTCACCACAGAGACAGATTCTTTCAATGTAACATGTTGATATTAAAAGCTCAAAGATTTTCAAAGACTGACTAACAGCCATATTCTGGCAACAAGCATGCCTTTTTCTAGCATTGAAAAAAGCTCAGGAAAAGCTGCCTTTTAAGACATTTAAGGATCCTGCCGATATGAGAGTATTAACAGCACCTACCAGCAGCTCTCTTAATCTTCTACCTAATGGTACTTTCCAGGACCCTAAAAAATTACTATCAGAATGTCTCATACTTTGAGAATTCCTGCCTAAAAATTATTTTTAGGAGCCATTAGCACAAATCAAAACAGCTGCTAATCTGAGGAATCACAAGAGTGAGAAGCAAGTTGACATCCCTCTGATTCAGCTCTCCAAGGTCTTAGGTCCTTCACTAAGAGCAGCTTCCTCAAGCCTGCATTCAAGAAATGCATTCCAATGAAGCTGAATAAAACCTGGTGTGAAAATATTTGTCCATTATATTTTCCTATTCATGTTCACAAAGCTTCTGTGCTGTGGTTATTTGAGGTTATGATACCTTACATCAATAAGAGTGTCTGCACTTCCAACTAGCCAAACAAATAGAATAACTAGAACAAAGAGGCAGAAACACTCTGGGGCATAATACCCACGCCACAAGGTCGAAAGCAAAACAATATCTTCCTACTTTATCATCTTATACGCCATCCATGAGCTGATAGCTGAGGCTCAGGGACCTTAAACATACATATGCAAGGGGTAAAATCTGGAAATATATGTTAATTATCCACCTGTCCCCTTTCTTTCATACTGAAAAGCTGACTTTCACAGATACTTACTTCAGTACCATATATTAGCTATGGCTCATTACAGATACCAATGAAAAAAAAGTATTGGTTCTAAAACACAAAAATGAAAAAGAAATGTTATAATAATGACTTTTTAACCTATGGATATTTTTCTCTTTATCAACAGAGAATGACCCTATATTTTTTTTCTCAAAAGGTCTGATGCTAGAGTTAAAATTGTGTCTCACATGGTGTGATACTTTAACCCCTCTCAGACATGAGGTCTCCAAAGAACACTTCCCAGAACAAATCACAATTCTTGATCCAAAGTAAAACAGTCAGAAAAATGGTGTTTTGACAGCTGAACATCTGGTGACTGTGTTACTTAAACCCTTCTGTTATTTAACCCTTCTCAAGACTTAAAAACATGCTCCATTTTATCTCTAATAATCAGTCTAAAAATTGAGTTACTGAATGATACACTTATCCTTTACATTTAAGACATCAGCAGGCCTAATTAATGCCAAAATTTCTAGGATTCATTAATAAACTCTCTTTGTCAATGCAGTTTTTGCTAAGTAGGGCATACCTTAGTCTATTTAAAATGTCTGATTGACTATAATCAATAGAGTATTAAAGGCACAAGACAGATTTTTCTGCAGTAGTAACATGAAAGGCTAAAAAGTATGCAAACTTGTGTCCACCACCTTCCATCAGAAACAACTGATTTTTTAGCTGTTGCATCGCTATGAATAATGCATTCTTATAAATCCTCTCAAAATGCAAAGGAGAGGATCTAGAGCTAAATAGCTTTCACTGAAAAGATAGTTTCAAGTTCATAATTTCTGTACTTGGGTTTCATGTGCATAGCATTTTCTTCTACCATCTGCATATGTCACACACATACATTACTTTAACATTTTCAAAGATCTATTAGTTATTCTGAAATAAGACTGAAATGACCTTCCAAGTATAGAATTAATCATACTGTTTTGCAGAATTTACCACTGAAAGGAAGTAAATCCCATCAAATTTGCTGTGAAAAAGTTATAAGAATACAACCAGGTAGATGATTCTCCACTGATTTAGTGGAGACATCCTACCAGCTTATATCAGATGCAAATATCGGTCACCATACCCAGAATGTCCAGGTCACAAGGTTTTTTTTAAATTTTACTTTAACTTCAAATAACCATTAGCCTTGGGTAGCCTCCTTGCCTTTTATTTTTTGCTTATGGAATTATTTGTATTTTATTTAAATGTTAAAAAAAAAATGAAGTGAGCAAGGCACTTGGTGATATGGTTTAATAGTAAACACAGTAGTGTTGGGTTAAGAGCTAGACTTGAAAATCTTGAAGATCTTTTCCAACCTGAACAATTATATAATTATAAAAGGCCAATGAAATTTTTCAGATTTTAGTAGCTACATAGAGGGACAGAAGGAGGTTTTCATGTGAAACTGAAATATTAAAGAGAGGGAAAAAAGGAGAGTAGAAGGAAATTTTACTGAAGGTCTAGGTATCAAATGTTTTTGTTGGGAATATATATCCTGCCACTAGATACTATGCTCCTTTCACTGCCCATTATCTTTACAGTTTCTACAAGGGATTTTTCTACCTCACACCATTCTTCTACATATTTTCTGCAGGCAAGACTCCTGAATGTGTTCCATAAGATGTGACTATACTCTCATCAGCAGTCAAAGATTGAAGTCCATGAGTAAAATTAACTAGATTATATTGACTCAAAGAAGGTTAATTGTATTGCACATATGTAGAAGAAATGTCATAATAAATGGGCAATTTACATCAACAGGAAAATTATTTTCATATTCTAAGCTTTCTCTAATGGAAATATGATAAGCCTTATCTGCACTTCAATGTTTGGGATGTTTTTTTTAAATTTTGTGCTTTAAAACAAGCATGAAAGTAAGCAATGTTAATACTTATTTCCAAAGTGCAATCAGTATCACATCCATCTCTAATGACCATGGGAAAGATACTGATAGGAAAGCCCCCACCAGATGAATTAATGAATATATGTTTAGTAAGAGAGACAGGTGTTGCCAGTCTCCTCTTTTCTACCAAATGCCCTTTGTTCCAGTTAAATGCAACAGAATATTCTTTCTTTATGCTGCAACTTTTCACTGTAGAAATTATGCCCACAGCCTGAAAGGCTGATCATCTGAAAGTTTAGGGAGAACTTGTTTTAACAGAAAGTTTTACAGAGGACTGCACAAGAAAGAGAAGTTTCAGGTCTCTGAGACCACACTAGCCCAGCATTGAGTTTGATATAATTAAGCATACCCAGAGACTTCCGAAAGTCATATAAGATCTAAAAGAAACTAGAGGTACTGAAGCTGGAGGAGGCAGAGGGACTGCATATGTCAACAGCATTGCTGCATCCTCAAAAAAAAAAAAAAAAAGAGGCTGAGATAAAGACTTTGGGGAAAAATGTTGCTAATGTTGCCTAAATGGAGCTGAGAAACTGAATGACAAAGTTTTCTCCCATTTCCTGCCTTCTGTTTTGTACAAGTAAACTTCTCATCATTAATGTTTCTAAATAAATATGAAAATATTTTTTAATTCAATTAAGATTATTATCTAAAAATAAAACAGAACCAATGAATCCCCAAATATACAAATTATTTTTTTGTAATGTTTTCAAAAATTGCTGGTTTGGATTAGGACCCTTTTAATCACACTAGATGCACAATAACACCACAATCCATAATACTCTAATTTATAAGCAATTTTAATAGTAAAATGGGAAAATGCCTTGTGCTGGGATTTGGCAAAGCACAAGTGGGCAAATTAATAAAAAAATTAGATGATGGCAAGATACCTCTAAGTGTTTATTGAAAAGAAATTTACAGAATTTTGGCTTAATTTATGTTGCAATAAGTTGGTTTTCTTATCTGCACCCCGTATACATGATAATATTTTGACTATGCTTGTCATATGATTATGGCAAAAATGGCAATTGTAGATGTCCCTCTATAGCAGCCAGTTTAACTCAGACTCTCAAAACATATTACTAACTAGTTAAGTTTGACTTTAGTAACTGGTTGGGAATCTGACTACAGAAAATATCAATACTGATTTTCAAGAAATTAATCTTTATCTTATCTGGCATTATAGCATTTTTCAATATAATACTGCAGAATAAAGTAAGAAGGGTATTTTTCACCAAGATGAAACACTTGCATTTGAACTCCACAATAATTTTAAGTCTACAAAGTATCTCTTATTCTGAGACAAGTTAATTTACTTAAGTCACTTAATTGTGTGTTCATATTAAGTATAAACTTACAGACCCTGAAAATATGTGTATTTTGGAGGTTGACAGGTCTTTACCTGCGCAACCAAGGGGGATCATAACCAAAGCCAAAAGCCATATCACCCCCTACCACACCACAGACCTTGCAAACTTTGTACCTGTTAGGTTGAGACTAAATATGCAAGCAAAACTATGTACTTAAGCCACACTAGCTCAAGCAATATTTTTCCATTGATTTATGTCAACTAGCATTTGGTTTCACTGAAAGAAATTTTGGTTTTTATTTTGGCCTGTGAAAAAACTACTTTCATTTTTAATGATTCAATTGTAGTCTAATATGTGGGGTTTGTTAAAAAAACCAACAAAACTTTATCTGTCTTAAGCAGAAATTTTTATCTTATCTGACACCATATATCATAAAAGATAAGGTCATGTAATATATAGGATTTCATATATACATATATATATAAATGTAGTATATGAAGGAATGACTTCAGCAGCTTCTCATAGATTCTCTTATAACTCTTGGAACATAACGACTTCCATGAAAGTCAGCTAATTTAAAAATCAAAATTAGCTGCATGTCTTTTTAAATTTTTGCCTACAAAATGGAGTTTTCCAATGATTTCACAATGATAAGTTCACAATTTGTTAACTTGGCTTTGATGTCTCTTTCTACTCCACTTGCTCTGAAACATGCTCTTCTTATTCTATTAATAAAGTCCTTTTTTTTTCCTTTTATTTTCTCCTTCTTTTTAAGTTGAGATTTGTTGAAGACGATTCAAAAATAATACAAGAACTCTGAAATCATACCTCAAGTATAGATCAACAACAATGCTGTCATACCTCAGGAAGTCTTATATACCAGAATGAGACAAAAAAAATGCTAATAGAAAGAATATTTTAAAAAGCATCAGGATCTTTTCATTTATTATATTTTCAATATACTGCTGATGATAGGATCTGACCGAATGAATTAATGGGGTAATGCACGCAAATACTTTAGATGATTTCACATTGAAAAGAAATTAAATATTTACATTGTGTGTATTGTTTTGAAAAGAATTAATTGTTATTAATGAATACATACTCTAGTGCAGAATCTTGAACACTAATAGTGGGTTGAATTCTGCATATAAATCATGTAGATTTGAGGTTGGAGCTCATCCTCTATGGTTTTAATAAGATGTTAATCTCACTTCCATTGCTGGAGTCCTTCACAATTTGGGTACACAAATCAATACAGTTTTCCTTTCCTATCATTATTTAAATGGTAAGCATTTGTAAGGTCTTAAAAATCTTAGATGAAATTTACCTGATATAATAAGAAAAGTTACTGTTCTAATGAAATATGTGAACATATATGGGAAGCTCAATGTCACAAAAACCAGAGGACTTGATTCCAGAGCTTCTGCTGAGATACAGATACGACCAAACTTGAGTGGTGTGTTTTGTTCATTAAAGCATGCTTCTAATTTAAAATCTTATTCTGATACTTCCTCATGCATTGGTTCAAATAGAAAATATGGTTCAAATTTATAGCTTCAATAAGAAGTTACAAGGCAATTCTCCAAAAGCAATTTTCATAAATAGTTGTATTTTTATGCTATCATTATTGCATATTTCATAATGAAATTTCAAATACATTTGCCTAGACATGTAATCTCCCCCAAGAGAGTAAATATAGACTGTACACATACACATTCAAGAAACACTATATTGGAAAAAGATAAGGAAGCTGGCAAAGTCAAGGAACACAAAGTTAGGAAATGCCAGAATTTAGGAAGCTCCTATCATTTGAAATTATTTCAGGACTTTTATATGAGCTGCAATATTGATCTAATAATGTATTCCTACTTCACCTTCTTGCAAGTATAGTGCAATTTTTTGTTTTCATTATAAAAAATGTGTTCCTACTTTAAGCATATTTTCTATAGTATATATTAAGGTTTTGTTTTTCTACAGAATATAAAGTTGCTGTTAGTTGATATTATCATTAATTGACTGGTATGACAATGTGATCTGTCCTGATATCTGTCTAATTGCACAAGGCATCAATTCCTGCATCAACTTATTAATATTAATAAACTATAAAATTAACTATAAAATTAACTATAAACATTTCAGTATCATTTATTATTACATCATTAGTCTAGTATTCTATGTATTCTAATACCAACTAGCTTCTTCTGAAAATAACTTATTCTTTACTTCCAGCAGAAACAATTTTCAATTTTAGTGTACCAGACTAAATAGTACACTAAAATGTACCATCTTATTGTTTCAATTTTTAAAACTTTCAATTTTTGTGTACCAGAAAACCTATATACCAACTAAGTTCATAGGAAAAATAGCATTGAACTTTTTAGATTAAATCAAGTATTTCTAGTGTCATCAAAATTCCTGATTCAACAGGTACCAGAGTGTCAACTCTATTGCACTAATACCCCGTTCCACATTTAAGAAATAAATCCTGCTGTATTGAAAACAGAAGGCTGATCTTGCTTCCAAGGAATTCAGTAACAAAATTGTCATAGGCTTAATTGAAAGACCAGGAGTATCCATGGATATAGCTACACAGGAGCACTTTTGACATATCATGGTATGTGCTGTACTACTCATAACACATAGGAAAAAAGGAAAGATAGTTTCATGAGAAAATATTGTGCACAATATCTCATCTTTAAGAAATTATGTCCTCAGATGAAAAAATCTTTAATGTCACAGCCCAAGTGGACTAATATTCAAAGTGTTGCATAACTACCAGTGAGAGCAACATCTGACACCCAGGTGTGCTACAAGCCACACATAGAAAGCTACACATTATATACCTGATGAATACCTGGTATGCCTTGTCCTTAGTATATTTACTTAGAGTATCTTTTGCATGTGAAATATCTTCTTGATGATGATGACAACCTTCATCCAGCCTTGTTTTCACTGCAATTCTCTTTTCCAGGCCAGAGATTGCCAGCATATACACTAATTACTGTAGATGCACAGATGACTGCCTAAGCCATCATGCACAATAATCTACATTCCACACACAATAAAACTTTCACAAAAGAACTGAACTCAAGCCTTTAACTCTGTATTTACTATAGACACTCAAAATTCTCTTGGCTTTCAAAATTTTCACTATTTTCTCTGTTTTCAAAAGTTGACAGAACTGCTTGTTGCTCTGTGTAGCAACAGTTGAGAGGCAAGTATCATAAATTGGAAATCTTTCTTTGAATTTCAGTGGCGAAGTCCAATATCAGGAGAATAAAGCAATTTATTTCAAAACATACATGTTACATGAAGTAACCAATATCAATAAATACATTATTATCACTTTCCAGTGGTCACAAAGTATTTGCTTTGAAAGAGACAGTTTATAAAGATCCTTTCCTGAAAGGAAAGGATCAAGGCTTTTGAAATTTTCATTAGGGAGTTCCTAGAACCAAAGGTCCCAACTCTATTACTGTACTTCTATAAAGATAATTTACTGATGCACTGAAAGGCTGTAAAACATAATAGTAAAGAGCTGGTCATAAAATAAATTGATGATTATGGATTATACCTTTTGAAGTGAAATGGTAATGGCAATATGAAATTATTTTGCTGCACACTGAAGAAGACAAGTGTTGCAAAGTAAACTACAAAGTTAAAATATCTAATATTTGTGGCAGAGATGACAGAATGGTAGGACTGAGAATAGGCAAAAGATATGAGTCAGTGAGAAAGACATCAGTTCACCTGTGTTTTGCAAAACATTTGCTTCAGATCTGTTTGCACAGCTCCTTCTTCTTGCTTGTGTGGGCAGTCTTACCGAGCTCAGCAGGACCAATATTTTCAGAATATCTACTCAAAGGAGTAAGAAACTCAGGGTTCTCTCTTTTGCAAATGACTCTAAATTCTGAATCATGGGATACATTGCATTGTATTTCAACAGCAGTCAAGGACAAGTTCCAAATTGCATAACTTCTCTTGTACTGTCAGTGAAGTTACCTAAAGTTAAGGTAGGCTTCCCTTTACTGACCTTTAAATAACACTTAAGGCTGAAAGACATGGCCTGGGGCTCCAAGGGTATGCAGATTGCTCCTGCCAGTGCTACCTGCCTTTAAACAAATAAGCTGCATCTCACACTATAACTTTCTGAAGGCCCAGGAAAGTCTTCTACAAACTCTCTCTAAAAAATCCCAGGAAACAAAAGTGTTGAAAGTAGATCCCTGGCTCTAGGGAGATGGGCATGATCTCTGCCAAGCACGTCGTGGTGCGTGAAGGAGCTCCTGTTTATCCTGTGGGACAGTCACAGTTCTCAGTATGGTTCTCTGGGGGATCTGGGTATCTCACTAAGTTGTTCCAAAGGGCTCCCACTTCTCACAGAGACTGCCCAGGGACCAGAAATACCAAGTTCAGATGCCCTGCATACCCCATTGACATGAGAAACTTGCTATTCAAACATTACTCAAGTAAATTGAGCACAAATAATCAGATTCTAAACACATAAAAACAATACATCAGGCAGACATCAATAGCAACAAAATTTAATGTTTCCTGTCAAGTAATGAGGCCATAGTCAGTTGCATCAATTTTTAGTGCATCGTTTAAGAAAATTTAAAATCAAATTCTCCTAAATGTTAATAAAATTTCATATGCTTAAATATAAAATCCCTGAAAGAAGCAATTGTTTTCTTACAGGTTTATGAAATTTTTATTTATTCATGTATTAAATAGCATGTTTGCATTTGACCTATAGCATTTAGATTTTTTCCTAAATGCTTTTTTAGACTATAAAATTTATTTCAGCCTTTTGGACCCAATTGTTCTGCTCTGGACCTGTTCCACCAGCATCTGTAATTAATACTACTCCATCTAGAATATTTTGAAATCTAACACCTTTCTCTACTCAATTTCTTTAATTGATTATAGCATCTAAAAAGGACTCGGGAATTCTTAGTATTTTCTATTTAAAGAATTAAGTCTTCAAATTTACAACTGGGTCTTGTTTTGTATCGACTCAGTAGCTAACCTTTGCCTTTTTTGCATCAGGCAGATTGGTATAGGGAGCCACTGGACCAATTTAAGCTCTAGATTTAGGAAATACTTTCTTAGGAAGACCAGTTACTGAACCTACCATTTCTATTAACACTCCCAAAGCCACCTTGTGAGATGTATGAGATTCCTGGTGGGAACAGCTGAGAGGAAGCAAGTACCTGAAGTAAGGACTGAAAAGAGGCTTAGCCAAAGTGTCCTTTCAGTTCTGCACCTTCACAGTGGTCTACCTTCCAGCTAGGAAGAAAGACACAGCACTGGGACCATGACCAGCACTGAGCCATGGGGTCCCTGAATCTTTTCTGACAGTCACACTGCACAGGAAAATATCAGATAGCATTCTTTACTCTGGTGTGAGTATTTGAACTACAAAGCTGAATAATACACTTCAAAATTCAAACTAAATAAAAGAATAGGAATAGTTTTTAACTTATACTCTCTCTAAGAGGATAAGGAGTAAGAAGGACCCCTGGAAGTAAGGCTTTAAAGGAAAGGGAGGTAAAAAAGTAAATAAAGACCAATAGCAAGTCTGGTTTTGAATCCAGATGAATAAAACTGAAACACAAAGTCATGTGCAAACTGATTTAAAGGGTTCAAGCTGGGTATAAAGCAACAAGAAATCTAAGCTTTGTCTTGCTCCTGAACTATTAAACCATTTCATTCTTTCATAGTCAAAGAGGTAAGACTACTAGGAGGAAAATATTCCTGCTTCAAGAACCACTTACATGAATTGTGTCATGTTATATTTTGTGAGAAGACGGGTATATTTTCTTGTTTACAACACTTTAATTGTTATGGTTTCATTCTTTAAGTAAAAAAAAAAGTTGTGAAATAGCTGTAGTGGTGATGAAAGCTAAAGTAGAGGGGGAGAGAAGCCTGAGCTACAGGGGAAGGTAAGGAAGACTGAGGATTGAAAATATCCCCATTGTCTGGAGCCAATGAATCACTGGGAATTTTTTATCCATTTTTATTTCTGTCCCTACTCCTCTTTCTACTTCTCTCCCCTCTTCCATCCCTCTCCTATTGCTTCCTTTACATTCACCCTACTGAGCTGTGCTGATGCCAGTTGAAAGGTACAACAAGTCTGAAATTAAAAAACAAATTACAAATAAAAGGTAAAAAAGATACAGAAATTCAAATGAGCACAGCCAACATTTGAAAATGTGCTTTCCTCTGTCAATGCAGATCAGTGTGACACAAGTCTCTATAGCTGGGTCGACTTTGATCTTAAAATATCTGAGACTGTAAAGTAGCTAGTCCTATTCTGATTATGATGAGTATTTACAACATTCATTAGTATTTGTGACCAAGTATCATGAATTTCTGAACCCATTTTTTAAATTTCTGAGATGAAATATTACACTATTGTACAACAAATTAAAAATAAATAAATGTGGCATCCCTGAAATAATTTCCTTAAACTGAACTGCAATTATTTTTCTTGTAATCTTGCCTTTCACAAAGTCTAGTCTAGGATGCCTAGACTACCTACTCACCCAGAGCAGTGTGCAGAGAGAGACCAGAGACATTGAATTTGTGTTAGGCTAATATGCCCTACTCTCACTGAGAAATTCAGTTGGACCTATCTGTGTTCTGACAATCTATGGTCATGAGACCTTTATATTCCCGTGACAACACTGTGCTCCTAACTCAGAGCAGAGAGGCAAGAGTGAAAAAGGAAATGTTATGGTGCATAAATGAAAGTAGAAAAAGAGGCGAAAACTTCATGAAGTCAGCAAATGGTTTTAGCCTTGTAAATCTGTTTTATGTGAACACTGCTCAGACAATGCATTTTTGAGGGACAGTACAAAAACCTAGGTTTGAAATATAAATAGAACGTGAAGAACAAAGACCAAAAGGTGGTGAAGTGTGTAACATGACATGGTAGCTGCAAGTAACAGTTTATAGTCCCCAGAGAATATTACTGCGCTTATTTGAAGCAGTTATTTTAAAGTGCTGAGAACTCCAACTTTTTAACTTCCCTTCTCAATTCTGACAAGTCCGTAAGATTTCTGAGTCTGTGCAAACCATTATATTATAGCTGTTAGAGCTTACAGCTGCAGCCTACTTTATCATGGTAGTAATACTGTGGTATTTGGGCAATTAACTCTCACACACTGAGTTTTGTGCTTACTCCTATAATACCAAATGGTTCATTTCTAATTTGGATTCAGTTTTAGTTTGGTTTCATACTATGCTGTCAGTGAAAAACATGGCCTGTGTAAGCAGTTTAATGATGTCTGCACAGGCGCCCAGCTAGTGCCTGGCCAAGAAGAAGACAAAACCCACGGTGGAAACACGTACACTGTATTTTTCATATATTTCATATAATTTATTACCTGTAGAAAATCTTACAGAAAGCCCAAACATATATTGAATGAAATAACTGAATTCATAATTTGTGGAAAAAGAGATTTATATCACAACATATTGTGCAGTGTCATGAATAGGCCGTTGCTTGGCATCCTGCTACACATAATGACTTGGGACAGATCTGAAGCAAGGCACTGAAGTAAACTGTATAAAAAAGCTGATTTTACAGACATTAACAGTCTTATAAAATTCCAGTCCTAAAAATTATCTGCGACAGGGAAAACTAAAATCTATCTGGTATCCAAAAGTACAGGTTTTACTGGAGTATTTAAAAACAAGCATGGACATGAAGACACCAGCAGCATGCTATCAGTAGCGAAATATTTCCCCTACATTGCCTGGATGACCTCAGCTCACAAACTAAAAAAGCCTTTTATAATTTCACGATCTAACTTCATAGACATCTTCAGAGACATCAAATTCAGATCTTCTGTTTTTGATGTACTATTTATTTTTTAAATATATCTTACAATGATTCATATATAAAGTACAATTAGCTGATTCCATTGCCATCCACATCATTGTTCTGTTTCAAAAATTTTCAAAGTTTTTCAAATGAGGTCCATAATTGTACCCAACAGCTTAAGTCCCTGGATTTTAGAATAGGACTCTGTGAGGAGAAGTCATTAAAGGATCAATTGTTGTTGGATCACATTATAAAAAGACAGAAAACTAGGTGAAGTGTGTGAAAAAGATGTGAAATCTTGGTTCCATCAGACATCCTTAGGAATTTTGTCATAGCCCAGAATTGATTCAAAATATTTAGTAACACATTTATATACTTGTGAAATTTGTGAAAAGAATTTCTGGAGAAATTGAAAATAAATTCAAATAAAAACTTTAAAGCCATGAAGATTCTAGAGGCAAAAAAAAAAAAATTTTAACCAAAAATTTCATTGCAAAATTAGGATATGAAGAAGTGGAGGACTGGGGAGCATGCGATTCGTTTCCTTTAACTTCATCCATCAAAAAGTTAGGGATCTGTTTTAAATAGGCCATCTAGGTTCTCTCTCATCAGCACAAAGAGAGAGGTGTTTTAGGAAGGTTGTTCATCTCAGCTGTCCATAGATGCCTCTGTTGGGATGTAATCTGTAATTCTCTTCAGGAAGAGAATATTTATCTCCGTTGACTACAAAGCCTTGAGCTACTGTGTTAGACTTCAATGACTAACTTTTAGATGGCTAAAATGATGACTACCTTAGTTCTAAAAACCTATTTTTTAAACAGCAAGGTTAAGTGAGATGAATAGAGTCTTTTGTGGGAACCACTTCATCAAAAATCCACCAAAAAAAAAAAAATAAAAAAATGGTTTGACACTAAATTTTGACCAGCATATGTATCACTGATTTTAATAGCACCAGGGCCTAATTCTGCACCTTTCTCTTTCTACAGCACCTACTGGAACAGGGCACATGCTGACAAATAGTAATCCAGCATGCTTTTTTCATAAAATAATAAACAATAAAAATAGCATTAATGTCCTGATAAACTACCCCTGTAAAGCAAAAGTGGAATAAATGCAGTTTCTCTTTTTAGTATTCATAATGTACATTAATTGTCTACAACTTACAAATGCCCAAGTAGAAGATGGTAACCTCTCCAGAGGCAATCTTGTAACTGTATCATTTAAAGGACTCCCATTTAACTGGAGGTTGTATAGGCAGGAAGAAAAGTTAATTGCATCCTTCTTCAGTTTGGGAAAAAGAAAACAAAGTGGATGTGAATTTATGTAGTAAAGACATTAGAAAAGTGACCTACTGTGCAATACCCCAAGTGCTGGGGTTTATCCTGTGAAATCAGTTGCAAATACAAGATGAGAAATGGTACCATGTATGTGTGTGTGTTCTACTTAGAAAACAGTAGCATTAATCCCTTTTAAAAGGTACCCAAAGAGGAAGTTTTGTTTTAATTATACCTTCAGGGGGCCTGTTTACTAGGCAGTGCATGACAGTTTGCACAGTGCATTTTTAAATCTTATAATACTTCTATTCTAATACTTATTGTGTGAAGGATCATTTGATAAAATATTGTAACTAGACAGAATGAATTTTCTTTTATAAACAGTAACTTACATTACAGATCAAGCTCAGAAGCATATTGCTGCACTTACTAAAAGCACAGTGTTTCATTGTAAAAGACAGCGAGTTATTACTATAACTCCCTGTGCCCACAAGAAGAGCTGTTAGCATGCAGTAAGCCTAGAGTACAGGCCTGGTGTGCAAAAATTCACAAAGGTATCTTTGTTACTTTCATTTGTATTGTTCTAAAAAAGAACTTGTCTAGGATAGTGTAAACATTTTAGTGGTTTTGTACTCCATTATAAGACAAAACAGAAAGGAAAAGTAGTATTGTCAACACTATGCAAATATAATTCTTTGACACAGAAACTCCAATTCTTCAGTCAATCTAAAAATACTGCATGCAAAGTATACATGTGCAGTGCCTCCTACAAATTGTAAAGTTACCCTGATTTAATAAGATGTGTCATATCTCTTTGACAATAGGTCCTGTTCCCCTTCTATACAAAACTCTGAGCAGAAACAGAGACACCTTTTTACTGAATGAACTGTACTGACGTGATGCTTTCCTATAGAACAAATTTAGCCTCGTTTCAGTCAGATTAAGAATCTCATAAATACTTGATTTGTGCCAGATATCCCCTTTTTGTTGACTCTGAACACCACAAAGCACATGACTGACTGAAGGGAGGACCCTGAAGAAGGTAACCAGTGTGACTGGACAGGCTGAAAAAGGCTGTTGGTATGGGGCATGGTGGGAAGACAGGGACCTGGTTTTCACCAGTTTATTCAATAATCACCAAGGCCCAAGAGTTATCATTGTATTCTTTAAGGTCTCTTGTTCTTCAAATAATAATAATAATGGTCTGTACTGCCTTTTATAAGCTAGTGCCTGTCCAAAGGACTACAAGCTGTTCTCAGAGGACCATAAAATTAACTACAGAAAGTGTGAGCTGTTTCCAGAGCTCCAGCTTGACTTGGTTGTTCAGAGACTGCCCATAAGTAGAGGCAATAATCACTGGCATCAGGAGAAAGCTACCTGGGAAGGACCACTGGTGTAAACCAGGTTTAATCAGACCTTTGGGTATTTTAGGAGAAAGACTTGTGAGTATGCAAAGAAAAAATGAGTCTGGGGAGTGTCATTGATAGTCCACTGCATTTATCTGCACTGCTGGTCATCACTCATAAGAAATCCACCTCTGCTTCTTCAAACCTCTGCCAGTCAAGTCAGATAAAAATTATTCTGCATCATAACTGCATATCATAACTGCATCAGAGGAAAAAAACAACTCTGCACCTGAAACAGAAATGCAACTGCATAATGGTTGAGCCCCAACACTGTGGCAGGCCAGCCTGGATGTAAGGAGCCAGGAGACACACAGTGATGTACCAGAGAGGCAATTTATTAATCTGTAGCTTTTGTCAAGAGGCAGCAGATAAGATAGGTCTGTATAAGTTCAAAATCAAGAAAGTTAAACTCTTAGCTATTAATCAAAAGTATTGGTTAAGCCCTGAAGGATAATCAACGTAAGGTTTTTCTTAATTCTCTATCACATTAGAGCATCTTTAAAAATCTCTCTCTCTGTGATCCTGTCTATTCATCTACATATCTATATTTTTATTCCAGAATACAACAGCAATAAAACATGTTATTTTATTCACACTAAGCAACCTGAAATTAACTTAGTAATTTGAAGGTCTACTTGATTATTTTTTTTAAATTGTTGGCAGATGATTCATTGAGATGAAAAATCACTCTTCATTGTGCAAAAATAAACTTTCTCACAAAATACTGCCAAAGCTGAAGTATAAACGCTTTTGAAAGATTAAGTGCATTATAGAGATTAGAGTGTCATTTTGAAATAGAAAAAAAAAACAGGGGGAAAAAGGTACAAATTATCCTAATGTGGGTATGTGCAAAACAATAATCTTAAAGCTATTTTACTCCTGTAATTGTTTAAAGATCATAAAGTAAGATTGGTACCTTCACACAGGCCAAAATGTTGCATTTTAATCCTTATACTACTTAAAAGCAGCATTTTGTTTTTTTCTGTTAGTCTGGATCTGAGTTTAAAGGAGTTACCAACTGGAAAACTATGTAGACAGTGTCACAGATTACATAATTTTTCATTAGGAAATATTCAACTTTAGCTTTCTGTTCAGATATTCTGCAAGTACTTAAAACATACAGGATTTGGCTTCAGAATTTGACAGCATACCACATCCTCTAAGACCAAGAGAATTTAAAATGTTCATCTGAGGGCAGACCTATCAGTCTTTGTAATCCCACCATTTAAACACTATTAAGCTTTTTTATCTTTTTATCTTTTAAAAGTCAAAATGCAGGGAAGGAAGAAATTAGGAAAAATAACACTATAAAAGAGAAACAAACTGCCATAAAATAATGCTTTAGGAGACTAGAGAGCTAAAATATAAGCAACTTGCAAAGACTTTAATAAGGTAAAAATTTTAAAGAACACCATAGTCAATTTTCACATTTATTCCCAATAAGATTGTGATACAGAATTGCCTCAAACTTGTTTACATTCCCTTCCCTGGTATGAATACAAAATACTAAGACAATATGTAGAAAACTCTTGAGCATTTAAAAACCAGAGTGTGGCAGAAGCAATTCCCAAGAGTTCTTTCCTGTTGCACTACAACCAAAGAAATTCAGGCTGGCTAGGCAGAGTGAAGGAAAAGTCCACATGGTGCAAGCCCCGTTTCAGCTGAAAACAGAACAGACCAGTGTGGGCAGAAGAGGATTCAAATGCAGCTTCCCTGTTTCTGCTGCAGCACGATTTTGGGCAGAGCCAGTCTCAACATCCCCTCCCAGAACCAGTCACACTTTTGGGAACCTCTCCCAGTAAAGCCCAGAAATCGTGAGGGAAGACGAGATTCAATTGCTCTCTAAAAATATACTATATTCTGAAGAGCAAAGACATGGAGAAGGAGCCTTACTGTTTAAGGGCAGCAGTGGCAAAAAAAAAAAAAAAAAAAAGAAGAGAGAGAGAGAATAATTTAGGACAGAAATTCAGTTTTTAAAAGCATGAAAAGTGAGGTTCTGCCCCACCTTCAAGAGGTGCAGTGAATGTGATACCCCAGCTAAATTTAAACCAGAGTTTTTGAATCTGAACAAAAGAAGATCAGCCTAGTATCATATCAAACAGATTTCATGACTCCAGAGGCCAATCTAGTTCTATCTCCCATGTTGAAAAATGTAAGAAGATAGTCTTCTTTTACCAGTTCAGGCCACAACAGCAGCTAAAACCACATATTCATGAGTCAGCACACAATGCTATACAGTTTCTCATTTCTGTTCACCTGTTATTTTTCATTTGCAAGTAAATACTGATAATAATAGTTAGTTATGGAAGAAGAAAAACTGCTTTCCAAAAATTTCAGTTTACAACCCTTTATAAAGGTGTCTTAAATCCCTATACTGTCCTGAATACCAAAACAGATGTAAAGAAAAATAGAAGATGTCATTTCAGTCTAGACACCCATTACTCTCAGGAGCTAGGGCAGTATGACTATTTCCCATACTATATAAGGAATATAATGATATCATCACCTGTAGAAACGAAGCTGCAATGTGTAGGCAAAATTTTTATTCATCTCAAAAGCGCGAAAGGACAATTGTCTTTGACACTAACTATGGCTTTCTAAAACATTAGTCATGGCAGAACTATAGAAACACCAAGCCTAAACCAATTCCACCAAGCCAAATCCTACTCTGTCCACATACTGCATAGAGGCAGAAGGATCCTCTTTCAAAAGTGGCTCCTTTATTCCTGTTTTAAGGTCCCAAGGCTGTTTGATATATATGAAGTCCTACAACCTCAGAATACTGCAAATGAAATGCATGTATATTAATTACCATACTACTCAGACAACAGGTGCTTTGTGGATGAAATCTGGCACTAAATAGAAAGTTTTAGGAATGCACTTTCTCAGACTTCGAGATAAGACTAGGTGAGCAGGATTAACTCTTCACTCAGCAACTATCTGCACAAAATTACTCACACAACACACCTGCAGTATTAAAAGAAAGGACAAAAGGATCATTCTGGAAACTGCTAGCCTAGTTACTTTATTTCAGTGCTTTAGCAGTAGCAAAATATTTTGCTTACAGGGAGTTGCACCTAATTTAAAGAAAATACTTCATCTAAATATAAGGAGGGATGGAAATAAATGGGTGGAGAATAAAGTTTCAATCTCTCTTGTTTTTAAGGGCTTGCTTTTAAAATTAAATAATGAAAAAGTAAGCAGGCTGAGACTTCTTAAAATGTGCAATAATGACCCAACAGATCGTATGTATTTTAGAAAAGTCATCATAATCTATCATGGAAATATCTCAGCTAGTTTTTAGACACATGAATTATTGACCCTGTTATGCTGCCAAAAGTATTTACCATGTTAGAGTAGAATTCATGCATAAATATGTGCAAAATATTTTTATTACAGTAAAACTGGAAAAAGCCAGAGCAAATACATAATATATTTCCACAAAGACAAATGAATTTATTTTTCAACATGACTAATTGCATGACATAAACACTTCTTACACTTTCTACTTTAAAGAAAGCTGGTACATTGCAAGAATTTAAACATAAGCATTAGAAGCCTCAAATTTCCAGATGCATTTGTAATTCTCTGAATTATATTTGCTTATATAACAGTGATAAAAGATATATATCCTCAGTAACTTACTTTAGTTTCCACATCTGAATACACGACATATCTTTATAGTCAGTTATAGATCCTTAAATGTTCTTTGTAAAAAATACAGTAAGCAATCCCATCACAATAAAGTAAACAACAGAGAACATCACAGAACACTCAGCACTTGAACTTTAGCATAATATCACACCATATTTCTCTCTGGAGGGAAATAAATAAATAAATAAACCCCAAAGCATCCCACCCTGTCATCTGGAAAAATCTTTGCAAATTGTGTTTTACAGAACCAATATCCTGTCCGTACATCAGAGGCAGCCTCTGTTAAGCATTTAAGAGCTCTCAGTGAAAAGTAACAGTTTCTCTTCCAATCCTGAACTCTCAGTAACCATCACAGAAAGTAACAATTTCCCATTCCCCGTCAGCCAGTGGTACTATTAATCATCAAACAAAAACGAAACACCTTCAAGCAAGTATCAGCTTCTGATTAATCTCCATCCCAATGAATTAGAGTCATACGAGGCAACCTGCTGCCTTGTTTACGCCTTTTTAATACGAGGAGCAGAAGTTGGATATAAGGGTTTTCTGCCCTTAGGGCTACAAAATATGCCTCATGTGGCAGCGAGCCAGCTCTCCGAGGGAACCTCCTTTGCTGTTTCACAGTTATTTTCTAATGGATAAATTTAAACAGACACACAAAAACACACGAGTCACCACAATACATGGCCAGAGCTATTGTTTTTGTCTAAAGTCCTGTGAGCATCTGTACTCCTAATGAGGATCTCAAGGTTCCATCCAGTTTCGGTTTGGGCTTTATTTTTAGCTGTTTTGTTTATTTGGGTTTTTTTCAAATGCAACGAGGAGAGGAGGGATGTGTGTTGTTTTTTTTTTCCCCCAGCTGCCTTCCCCTCTATAGAGCACAGCACATAAAACACCTCTCTTCAGCTCTAACTGACCTAGGCTCAATTAGTGCAACATTTTGCACGTATCCAAGCAATCACAAGGCAGAGCTATTTAGTCCAGTCCTCATGTGTATTGCACAGACACGTTTAGAAAGGGGTGGAAGGAGATTTCTTTAAAAAAAAAAATCTCACAATGAAATTTACACAGTGTGGAAACGCCTACAAGGAGATGAAGTACCTGCACTGGGGAGATGTTCAGTTGTTCACTTCATCTTCCGTTGACAAGGAAACCAAACCGCACTTCATTCTCCAGGAAAACCTTCCACTGCCATCATTTGAAAATGTATTTATTTGTATATATGTATATATCTATCATCATCATCATCATGATAACAATAACCATCATAAAACACTGCTGGCAAAAGAATAAAAAGTGACGGTGCAAAATGTGCAAAAGTAAGGCTCATCTCTTTGGCTTTCTGTTTTGCTTTGTTATCTTTAGGGAGGAAAAAAAGTATTTAAAAATGATGACTGCAACATGCTGCAAGAAAAGTTTCACATTATAAACAGGCATCAAAAACTGAAGAAGAGGAAAACCAAAAAACCCTGCTGGTTGCACTGTCAAAAAAAA